TCTCTCTCTCTCTCTCAAAATAAACAAATAAACATTAAAAAATTTTTTTTAAAAATTACTTAGAAGCAATTGAGGGATAGCATAGAAAACAGTAAGAATACAGTCTGTAGTAAAACAGCCCAAGGAAGATTCCCTCCAGCTCTTTACTTTCAAGTTACCATGAGAAGCAGATGAGAATAGCAAGTTAATTCCCAGGGGAAGATCTAAGAGCTAAATGTTGGCCATTAAAACCATCCAATCAGGGGCGCCTGGGTGGCGCAGTCGGTTAAGCGTCCGACTTCAGCCAGGTCACGATCTCGCGGTCCGGGAGTTCGAGCCCCGCGTCAGGCTCTGGGCTGATGGCTCAGAGCCTGGAGCCTGTTTCCGATTCTGTGTCTCCCTCTCTCTCTGCCCCTCCCCCGTTCATGCTCTGTCTCTCTCTGTCCCAAAAATAAATAAATAAACGTTGAAAAAAAAAAAAAAACCATCCAATCAGAAGTTACTTCTTTCAGTTAATCTTTGGAATACATGGGTGGGGAGATCTTCAACTGGGTCTGGGTCTTTGGACATTAGTAAAAAGAAGTTCACGGCCATGTGGTAAATAAGATGCCAGATCACCACGGCTTGTGTTCTTACTCACCATTGAATGACAGATTGATGGCCTCTAGGTAGTTTCCTTGTGCTGAGGTAGAATTATCTCCTTGAGGAAAGCCCTCTGAAGCAAAAGACATAAGAGAAGGAAAAGTATCCCATGAAAGATGAACTCTTAAAGAACAAGTGGAAAGTGTCTGGCTCCATAGGTCCCCCTACCCTGTAGTAGGTATACTATTGAACTTACTGCATATGTAATGAACAATTAGACCCAACTGGAAATAGAAACCTGACCAGAAGCAGAAACTCTGTCCAGCACTGTGAAAGAAGCAAGCATGAACCTCTCCTCTCCCAGACTCCATCCTACACCTCCTTTCCCTGCCGCACTTTCTGTCATTATGAATGCAGTACCTGCCTGTTCCAGTCGCACCAACACTGGATACTGGATAAAGAGTTTTTTAATGGTCACAAGGAGTGATGTCCACTCTTCTCTCCTCTCATTCTGCACCACCACTCTGAAAGGAATATTGTCATAAAATAGACATTGAGCAGCTATTACATACATCAGGTTTCTCACAGAATTTCAAAAGAAAGGAGAAGATGGGATTTCCAGGGTTAAGGTAATTTACCATATAATAATAAGTATTAAAGCCAAGTGCATGTAACAAACATTAACAAAGACCTGTATTACCAATAGTCATATAGATTGAAAACAAAAAGTAAGAAAATATTTAAAAATTGCCTTGAAATCATATTAATACCTAGTATTCAGCAGAAACATGAAATCTTCATACAATGAATTATAATTAGGTGGTATATAAGAAGCATAAAATAAAACATCTATATGTAGGTTTTACATATATATCTAATAAACAAATCTATGACAGGGAACTACATTAGTAGAAAGGGATAGGTGAGAATCTGTTTATTGTAGAGCTTGTGAACCTTAAAAACCTTAAAAATACATGTGACTGCATTACAAAAAATAAAAATAAATGTGTGTGTGTATATGTGTGTGTGTGTGTGTGTGTGTACATATACATACAGGTTTGCATGTGTGTGTATGCTAGGAATTTATCTTAAAGAAACATACAGGACCCAGAATAGCCAACCCAATATTGAAGGAAAAGAACAAAGGTGGAAAACTAACACTATCCAACTTCAAGACTTAACTATAAAGCTACAAATAAAGCTAAAGATAGTGTGGCATTGGTGAAAGAGTAGATAAATAGATCAATGGAACAGAATAAAGGGCCCAGAAACAGAACCCCCAAAATATAATCAGATTTTTTTTTAATGTTCATTTATTTTTGAGAGAGAGAGCTAGTGAGCACAAGCTGGGGACAGGTAGAGAGAGAGGGAGAAACAGAATCTGAAGCAGGTTCCAGGTTCTGAGATGTCAGCACAGAGTCTGATGCGGGGCTCGAACCCACGAATCATGAGATCATGACCTTAGCCAAAATCAGATGTTTAACTGACTAAGCCACCCAGGCACCCCAATAGATCTTTGACAAAGAAGCAAAGACAACACAATGGAACAAAGACATTCTTTTCAACAAATGGTGCTGGAGCAACTGGACATCCACACGCAAAAAATAAGAAAAGAAAAAGAATCTAGATACAGACTATACACCCTTCATAAAATTAACTCAAAAAAGATCATAGACCTAAATATAAAATTTAAAACTATAAAACTCCTAAAAGATAACATACCAGAGAACCCAGATGACACTAGTTGGGGTGGTGACTTTTTTTTTAAGTTTTATTTACTTGTTTTGAGAGAGAGAAAGTGAGAGAGAGTGTGCGGGTACTGGCAGAAAAGGGGCAAAGAGGGAGAGATAATCCCAAGCACACTCCACACTGTGAGCGCAGAGCCTGACATGGGGCCCGACTCACCAACCATGAGATCATGAACCAAGTCAAAATCAAGTTGGACACTTAACTGACTGAGCCACCTAGACGCCCCTAGGGTGATGACTTTTTAGATTCAACACCAAAGCCACAATCCATGAAAGAGAAAAACTGATAAACTAGACCTTATTAAAATTAAATAACTTTTGCTCTGGGAAAGACAATGACAAGAGAATTAGAAGACAAGCCACAGACTAGAAGAAAATGTCAGCAAAAGACACATCTGATAAAGAACTACCATCCAAAAACACAAAGAACTCTTAAAACTCAACAATCAGAAATAAACAACCCAATTTAAAGATGGGCAGAATACCTGAACAGACACCTCACCAAAGAAGAAATACACATGGCAAATAAGCATAAGAAAAGATGCTTCACATCATGTCATATGGGGAAATGCAAATTAAAACAGCAATAAGTGACCATTAGAATGGCCAAAATCTAGAACACTGACAATACCAAATGCTGGTAAGGATATGGACCAATAGGAACTTTGAGTCACTGCTGGTGGGAATGTAAAATAATGGAGTTACTTTGGAAAACAGTTTGGTGGTTTCTTACAAAACTAAATATACTCCTATCATATGATCTAGCAATCATACTCCTTGGTATTTCCCCAAATGAGTTGAAAACTTAGGTGCACACAAAAACCTACACATGAGTATAGAAACTTTATTTATAATTGCCAAAACTTGAAAGCAACCAAGATGTCCTTCAGTAAAGGAATGGGACAAACTGTGATACATCCAGACAATGTAATACTACTGAGTGCTAAAAAGAAATGAGCTATTAAGCCATGAATATTACTTAAATATATTACTAAGTGAAAAAAGCCAACATGAAAAGGTTACATACTATATGATTCCAACTCTAGGACTTTCTGGAAAAGGCAAAACTGTACAGACTCTAGAAAGATCAGTGGTTGCCAGGGGATGGGGGTTGGGGGGAAGGGATAACTGGAACACTAAGGATTTTTAGGGCAGTGAAAATACTCCATAATGATGGAGACATGTCATTATATATTTGTCCAAACCAACAGAATATACAACACCAAGAGTGAACCATAAGGTAAACTATGGACTCTCAGTGATTATGGTGTATCTGTGTAGGTTCATTAATTGTAACAAATGCACCACTCTGGTGAGGAATGTTGATAATAAGGGGAAGGGCACTATGTATGTGTGGGCAGAAGAGGTGTATGGGATATCCCTGTAACTTCTCTCAATTTTTTTATGAACCTAAACAGCTCTAAAAAAAATAGTCAAATTAAAAAAAAAAAAAAGACAAGAAACATTCAAAATGCATAACTATATATGTATTTATATAGATACATAGATACACAGTGGTACATAGATCAATTTTAAAATTAGAAAAATATTAAATATCTAACAATAAGGAATTAAATTGTGATAAAATTTTAGACTATGACAAACTATTATATAACTACCAAAAATTATATGATTCTCTGATAATTGTTTAATATGAATAATGGGTATATGAAGGCTCATAATGCTATTCTCTCCACCACAATACATCTGATTTTATTAAAAATAAGACAAGCCAGGGGCACCTGGGTGGCTCAGTCGGTTAACTGTCCGACTTCGGCTCAGGTCATGATCTCACAGTTTGTGGGTTCAAACCCATGTCAGGCTCTGTGTTGACAGCTCAGAGCCTGGAGTCTGCTTCGGATTCTGTGTCTCCTTCTCTCTCTGCCCCTCCCCAACTTATGCTCTGTTTCTCTATGTCTCTCAAAAAATAAATAAATGTTAAAAAATAAAATA